AAACTCCCCTAGCGCTAGAAGAAAGCCTCGGAGCACTCGACGGCTCCGAGAAGAAGAGCTTTCGGCTCGGAAGTCCTGCCCCTGCAGAGCCCGACTTCTAGCCAAACCCCCTCGTAGGTAAGATACGCCTACCTAATTTTTAATATAGCTTTTATTTAAATATATTAAAGTTATCAGGACCTTATAATAATTATTTGATCTATTATTATGGGTTATATAAGTGTCGTTATAATATCTTTTTAACTACTCGCGGTACGGGAAATCTAGTTTAAAGGGCCGCATAGGGTTGTTGGATTTCAGAAGTGCTATATGCCAAAATAGTCCTGCGCTCCGGTTGTTTTATGGCTGGCCCCTGTCTGTACATAGTGGTTGGAAAATATTGTTTAAACGCTTATATAATAATAATAATGCTAAGACTAATAATTAGTCACGGTAAATATTAGACTAAAATTTAGCGATAATAATGTTAGGTTTCGTCGAAGGAAAATAGAATGTTAAAAGTGAAGCGTTGCCCGAGTTTGGAATCATCACTTTAACAAGTGAGTGCATAGTTACTTTTAACTTACACATAGATATGAAGTATTTTATATAAATTACGTGCTATGTGTGCATATTATCTGTATACTTGTTATCTATGCTGGATGAACGATTTTATACATGTTTTAAATAATTTAAACTGTATATGTATTTTATATCTACGAATATGTTGGGTAAAACATGGGTAGATGAATGATGAGAGATGAAAGATGATATGAGTGAACATTGGCAGCTATAGACTTAGTGCGTAACAAATAACATCGGCAGCTATGGACTTAGTGCCTATTGAATAAACGTTGGTAGCTATGGACTTAGTACCTGTTAGATAAACGTTGGTAGCTATGGACTTAGTACCTATTAGATAAACATTGGTAGCTATGGATTTAGTACCCGATGAATGAACTTTAGCAGCTATGGAATTAGTGCTTTACGAACGAGCATTGGCAGCTATGGACTTAGTGTCTGTCATATAAACCCTGGAAGCAAAGGACTTCGGAATGAACGAATGCAGGATAAATGACTCTTAGGGTGCGTTTGGTATAGAGAAATGGAATTGTAGCAGAGAATGGAAATGCAGAGAAAGAGAATTAAGTTGAGGAAAGTGAATTGATTCCACTGTTTGGTACAACGGAGAATTCATCAGAGAAATATACACGAAATCTATTCTCTTGTTTGGTTGCAATAAACAATGAAATGAAATTAAACTGTTACCATGTTTATTTTTTAAAACAACATTTTTTATAATTAATCAATCAACCCAATAACAATAAGCTAACAAAACAAGAACAAAGGATTACATATATCATGCATGTCAAAGCCAATTTATTTTATATGCCCTGTTACACGTATCTAATGAAAAAGGATTACATAGATGATTCAAATATGGAATTCTTGAACACTTTTTCGAAACAAAATTTCTATGAACTACAAAGATTGCTGCAAATAACTGCCACCCAAGTGTGATCTCAACAGGTAGTAAGTAGACCCAAGGGTAAAAAGGTCATATCTAGAAAAACTGAAGCTGCCAGCAAGCTTTTAATCTGTGAATTGAGTAGACAATCCCCAATCAAATTAAGCCATGAACTTTTGGGAGTGAAACCACCAATGGCAGTGAACTTCTCAAATCAGGGGTATAATCGTCTCATAGTGATTACATCTAAACGCTGCATTTTTATAAAGAGAAACAAATTCAATCACTTGTTATGTTAAAAAAACCATAAATCACAAAACAATGTTAGGAGGATTCAGAAAAGTTCCAGATTCACTGAATATTACTTGATTCACCTTAGCATCAAAGAAAATCGGTAAAATTACTAGGTAAAGCTAGCAACACCAATACTGAACATAGCGAACACATGAAGAAGACCAACAAAAAATCGAATTAATGTGAAGTTCCCAAACAATCCAAATTCAGTTTCGCACAGCATACAAAAATCAAATTAATATGAAAGATAGCAAAGATACTGATTCAATTTCGCACATCAAGAATTGCAAGAACAGCATGAATTGAACTTAATTGAGATTCTATAAAGTGATTAATACTTTAAATTGGACATTTGTTGAAAATCAATCAAGAAGAAGCAACAAAAAAACGATATTTTGGTAGGGTAAAGCGTGCAATACCGTTATGTAACGTAGGAACCCGAAGACATAAGAGAAGAACTAGGTCGACTCCTTAAACGATCGCATGATAAATCAGTATACGATTATACGAAGCCTAATCAAAACCTGAGATGTAGTTGGTAGGGCTCGAAGTCGGGGCTGCTTGTTTCTCCGCTTTTGTTTTCTATTTCCCAGAGAGTTTGCTTTTCCTTTTTCCCACCTTTTCTCTATTAATTATAGGGAATTAATTTGATGGAAATGGAATTCATTCTTTTCCATTTCTCTTTATTTTTAACACAAACCAAACAAGAGAAATGGAATTGATTCTATTTCTCTCCTTTTAATTCCCTGTACCAAACACCTCCTTAGGGTAGACCTTAAGAGTAAGGAAGATAATGGGGATGGGTAATTGGGTGGATTCTTTGATGTTTAAACATAATAATTAAATTATTGTGGGTTGAAAACCCTATGTACTCACCAGGTTTCCCAACCTGACTCACTCAAGCTTATTTGTATCACATGTGTCGATATTAAGTTACATTACACTGAGAGATTAAAGAGATGTAGATCACTAGTGTAAATAAATATAAGTTATGTTTATGCTTATGTTTATGTATTGATGATGACATCCCAAATGTTTTAAAATGAACAAAAATACATTTCTTCGGAAATGCTTTGATAACGTATTTATCATGTTTTTCTAGGAATAAATTCCGCAACATTTTTTTTATTAAAAGAGGTACTCTGATTTTTATAAAGCATAAACAAAATCGGTCTTTTCTGGCCGTGAAAATGGGGATGTCACACCATGATTTCGAGAACATGCATAGCCTTTTGATTTCCACATAAAAAAATCATCTTCATCAAACGATGGAATTTTGGAAGCGGCAGAGGAATTAGGATAATATGAGGAAGACATGATAACTTGAATGTATCGAAGAACCTTCTCTGATACCAGTTGAAGGTTCGCTTGATCGGATACAAACAGGTATAAACACAAGAAAATATTATATAGAAGATCAGAAGAACAAAAGAACAACGATGATCACAAAGATGGTTTTTCACTAAGAAAAATATTCTCACAAAGAGAATGGGTGCACAAAGCAGTCACAAAGATGGTCATGCCACACATTAGGGTTTAACCCTATATACAAATACAATAAACGAAAATCCCTTTATTTAAGGGATGTAATCTAATCTACGTATAGTCTGATCCTAATCACTAAGATTACGGATCATATATCTATTCTATAAATACAAAGTTATCTATAATGACAAAGTGTCTAACCGACTATTATACAAAAGTATCGGACTATTATACAAAAGGTCACACTGTCGTTGATACTACGATGACGTTGGCACTGACGCTGACGTTGGTGCTTACGTTAGCGTTGACGCTGGTGGACAGCGTGTGAATGATGTTTGACTCATCAGATCATTAGGTGTGACCTTACAAAAAGCTTCATCTCTAAAAGATCGTTTTCTTGTAGTGTAGGAAAAGGAAAGGCTAGTAGGTCTTTTTCTACTATTCTTACTTAATAATAGTCCTTTGATTTTCAAGTCTTTAGTTTGACCTAGAATCCAGTTCCAATCTTCATAAGGCCACAACCAAGTAGTAGGTTTCAAATTTCTTTTATATCTATTCTCAAGTTCTATTGTGAAAAAATTGATCAATTGGATTTTGCAATGAAATGGGCCAACTTTTTATAACTAATATCAACATATGAAGCTTCATACGTTTGAAATACTCAACTTTCTAATAACTTACTTACACTTTGGCTAATAGCAATTAAGGATTGAAGAAAAAGAAATGGAAGAATAGAACACTCATGATAGGTAGAGCGGTAAATCGAAATCCTTGAAGAAGATGAAGAAGAATTTAAGGATAGGGTCTGTAACTTTGATTTCAATTTTATAACTAGACAAAGAAGACAAGCAGAGAAGAACAAATAACCAAATTCTAGCTCTAATAGATCCTCAATCAAATGGTAAAAAAACATAAACGTTGATGAGTTAGAGGGTAATTTTGACGTAAACTTTTTTTGGTACGTCTCGATTGTCGATGTCAATGTTAAATGGCAGTAGAATTATGAAAATATTGTTAATTAAAAATTTAAAAGATATTAGGTTAATTGGTTGCATGAATTAGACCTATATTAAAACATTTTTGTATATTTTGTATAAGTTAACGGTTTTAACTTTTCAGTTAACATATATATTGCATTATTTAGTCCTCTTTTAGAACTTCCTTGCATCTTTGTATAAAAATAAATATTGTTTGCATAAATCGGGAATAAAACAAAACTTCGTTGCATAAATATGTAATTAGCCCATAAATAAACTTTAGAAATATATTTTTTTTCTATTGCTTATGTGGAAGCCATGCCAATACATATGCCTCGTGATCGTGACATTTCATATGTAAGAGTAACCAAAAAATTTTGAAAGGGGTTCTAAGAGCATTATATATGGGCCTGTTGAGATGGTTTTATAACAGCTTATAACACCAAAGGGAAATGGTGTTTATGGTGTTATAACACCGTTAAAAGGAGGTTAAGAGGAGAAAAATAGGGAGAGATGAAATGTGCACCCAATCAATGTTTCCATTTCAGTGTGTCATAACGTCAACAAGATTATGTCATAACACCAATGAGAAAATAGTGTTCATGGTCTTATGACCATGTTATGAGGGTGCCACATAGACAATAACGGCGATTTGTGTACCCATACCGAATGTTGTAAATGACTAACTCAATACATTTTGCAAAAGTTTATACAAAATATTGTGAATTCTATAGAGAATCTTTTTAAGTTTTAAACAATAAAAACGTAATCTTCAACTCCAGCTTTATACGACATCATTTTAATGAGTCTATCTCTATCCTTGTGACTTTGATCGAATGGAGTCGTGACTCGTGAGCATTTAGCCATTTACGGAGATAACATATGTCCACGTGTCACGTATCTTCTCTCTTGGACAATCATCCAGGTTAATGGCGCCCATACCTCTCTTGGTGACGGCAACGAAGCTCGCCGGAGTGTTAGTAACTATCACCGTAGCCGCCAACGCCGTCTCCTTCTCCCGTTACCGGAAGAGAAATCTCGCTCCGTTTGACTCTCCTATCGATGAAACCTCCGACACTCTCGCCATCTTCAACGTCAATTGCTCCGACTCAGACGAAGGTAAATAATATTTCCGCTCTTCCTGAAACTTCATTTCATATATTAACCATCGAAAGTGTGATATGATTGTTCCAACCGTCTGTTGAGCATTTTTCTGATATAAGCGGGAAAAGAGGACTAGATTACGGTGCATAGAAAATTAAGTCGGAGACTTGATGCATTCGATTTTTTAAGCTTCTCTTCAATTTTGACGCATCCTAACTTGATTATGCATCGACGCAGATAGCCTTCACCTTTCAGTTTAAACTCTTGAATCATCTGAATAGTTGATTTTAAGGGGTTTTTTTGGATGCTTGCTCTAATAGTAATTTTGTGACTTCAAAAATAATATGTGTTGGTATCTGACATCAAACAATCAGAATTATAGTCGCTATTACTCAAACACTCAAAACGGATTCACAACAATCAAACTAAACACTCAAACGTCCCATTAAATTCATTTTCATTTGCTCATTTAACGTGCTTGTGCCCCCCAATTCCCATTTTAATGGTGTCCTCTCATATGAAAGATAGTACAAATGAATAGAACTTGGATTCCATCATGCTAGAACTTGGAGCTTCTAATGCCTATTTACTGGTTTCCATTGTTGTTTGAGTTTTGTGGTATTGGCCTTAATTTGTTGAGTAATAACTCTGTGTAGAAGAGGAGGAGAGTTTCTTTTTCGGACTGGCAACAGCACCAGCTCATGTTGAAGATGGACTCAATGATGCTTGGCTTCAGTTTGCACAAGATGAGGTTGTCAACAAACAAGACCCTACAACAGATACAAATACAGCAATGGCCTCTGCAACTGGTGATGGTGGATCTCAGCAAGCTGCAGGACCTTTAAAGAGGAAGAAGTCTCTCAAGATAGCCATGGAAGCAAAACTTAGAGGGCTCGTGAAGTATATTGAAGATGAAGAATCCACCAGTGAAGAAGAACAACATAATGTAGCTGCATGGCACAATGTTCCAAACCCGTAAGACTTAAAAACCACTTGTGTCAATGAGCTTCCTTTTTATAAGCAGCTAAGTTATAAGAGCATATGATTTGATCTTTTCAGGGAGGAAAGGCTACGGTTTTGGTCTGATCCTGATACAGAATTAAAGTTGGCTAAGGATACTGGTGTTAAGGTCTATCGAATGGGAATAGATTGGACACGAATCATGCCAAAAGAGCCAGTTAATGGACTTAAAGAATCAGTAAGCAGTGTAATCAGTTAATTCATTTTGTTCTATTATAACATCATGCTTTCAAATAAAAGATGATTGTTGCCACAAAGACATGGGAGGTCACTTAACTTTTTGCATTTTTCAATCTTGTTTTTTTTTTTTCTTCCTGGAACTGAATTGGTCTGTATAAGATTAATTATGCAGCACTCGAAAGATACAGATGGATCATCAGCAGAGTGCAATCTTATGGTATGAAGGTTATGTTGACTTTGTTCCACCACTCCCTGCCACCATGGGCGAGTGATTTGGGAGGATGGAAGTCGGAGAAAACAGTAGAATATTTTATGGACTTTACTAGGTTAGTTCTTCTGTTGATTACAGCATATTTTAGTTTGAAAGTATTAGGTAACAATAAGATGGTAGTGTTTTAAATGTGTTGCAGAGTGGTTGTTGACTGTGTGTTTGAACTTGTTGACTATTGGGTGACATTTAATGAGCCTCATGTGTTCTGTCTTTTGACTTACTGTGCTGGTGCTTGGCCTGGTGGTCATCCTGATATGTTGGAGGCTGCTACTTCTGCTTTACCAACCGGTGTTTTCTATCAATCCATGCATTGGATTGCTGTTGCTCACTCTCAGGCCTATCACTATATCCATGAACAAAGGTATCCCTTCAAATTTAAACAATGACTTTCATTTAGCCATATGTAATGTATTAACTATTAAGCATCAGCTCGTATTTCATCTTATTGATTGCAGTGTATTGTTAAACCCAATTGTGGGAGTTGCACATCATGTCTCTTTCATGCGTCCATATGGCCTCTTCGATGTTGCTGCTGTTTCAATAGCTAATTCTATGAGCCTCTTCCCATTTTTGGATGATATATCTGAAAAGCTCGACTTTATAGGAATAAATTACTATGGTCAGGTAATCTTGATGTTTTTATTAAAAAAAATTGGCTATACATGCTCTATTTCATTTCTACTTTGTTTACTCATTTGGTAAAATGGATGTGACAATAATGTTTCACTTTTTTTTGATCAATTTATCCAACGTATAATGTTTCTATTTTATTTTATCAGGAAGCGGTATCTGGAACTGCATTAAAACTAGTTGAGTCGGATGAATACAGTGAATCTGGACGTGGAGTGTATCCAGATGGCTTATTTCGCGTTCTATTGCATTACCATGAAAGATACAAACATCTCAAAATTCCATTTATTATCACTGAAAATGGTGTATCTGATGAGACCGATTTGATACGCAGACCTTATATTCTAGAACACTTACTTGCAGTTTATGGAGCAATGATGATGGTACTTCTCTCAAATCTGTTTATTAAATGCAAGAAATAGCAAAATATACTTCCATTCATATGTTTACTTTATACAACATTAAGATAGTTGATGGTAAGTATGCACAGGGTGTTCGAGTGCTGGGATATTTGTTCTGGACCACTTCAGACAACTGGGAATGGGCTGACGGTTATGGTCCCAAGTTTGGGCTAGTGGCGGTCGATCGGTTCAATGATCTTGCACGGATCCCACGTCCTTCATACCATTTGTTCTCCAAGGCAAGAAACTATATAAGGAGGGCATTTTCGTCTTTTTAACAGACAAATAGACTAAGAACGAATCCATGTTCCACCTTTTTCGGTGGGACAAAAAATTGCAACTTTTGTCCTATTGACATCAACCCTAGTCTCAATCCAATACATGTCAAATCCAGTTCTGTCATGTCATGACTCATGAATAACAAAGGGGCGTTAATGTCTTTTTGTTTTGAGTTGTTGGTTTTTATCATATTGATGGCTAATTTGTGGTTTTTGGTGAAAGCAGGTGGCGACTTCAGGTAAGATTACATGGCAAGACCGGGATAAAGCATGGTACGAACTTCAAAAAGCAGCTCGGGAGAAGAAAACAAGACCATTTTACCGTGCTGTAAATAAACATGGGTTCATGTATGCTGGTAAGTGGGGCCCTCTATTTGTTACTTCCATAAAGACATGACATCACAGTGTTGTACTGTGTTTGATGTGCATTAGAGTGGGCCATCAATATGATAAAAACAAAAATTTGCAATTTTTATCCCACTACTAACATCTGTCTAATCTCTAAGTCGAATATACATGTGAAAACACAGTACAAAAGAGTTTAAAAATTTTCTTATCAATTTTGTGTACTTATCTTAGACTTAAAAATTAAAATAGGAACTTTTTGGTATCTGATTGGGTTTAATAATCAAATGTATGTTGCATACAAATACAATACAGGAGGACTTGATGAACCACTATTTCGACCATTTATTGAACGTGATTGGCGTTTTGGACACTATGAGATGGAAGGACTACAAGACCCATTAAGCCGTTTTGCAAGATTCATCGCTCGACTTATCTCCTTCAGAAGAAAGAAAACTGAAGAAGATGAAGAGATTGAGTACGAACAACTTCTTTTTCAGCCAGCTTAGCCGCATTTTCCTCTATTTCTTTTGATGTATATACGACGAGATTTTCAAACAATGAATTCACTGTCGTAAATGAATTTTCTTATTTCCAATCCTGTAAAAACTAATTGGAGAATAGTAGAATACTACATCTACCCTTGATCGTTTATGAATAGAATGAAAATTACCGGATTTTGCAAAATCAAATATAATGAAATTAATGACGAAAATGTTAGACAACTGTTCCATTAGATGCTAACAATTGTTGGAGGAACTTGGCCAGACCTATGGTTGGGGTCGTGGAAAAATGTCAAGTTTTGCAAAATCCAAAAAAAAAAAATCAAGAATCTTATAATAGTGTTTAATTAAATTCTAGTCTAGTAAAGGAGCTAGAAATTTGGATATAGAAATATGATTATAGTCGAAAATTGAATGTAAATTTTGTTAAAAATGTTTAATATTTAATGTGTGTTCAAGTCAAATGGTATATGAGATAATTATGATTGTATACCTTTATAACAAGGGATTATAAAGAATCATATATAGGAAACTAATTTACACATCACAACCCTCTATGGCTCTCTTCTACACAAATATAATATCTTGAGTCATGTGATTTTAGTCACGATGTCCGCTAATGTCTTGTCACACCCCGAAACCGTTGGCGGAAACATTCTGGGGCGGAGGACATCATGTATAGCATCACAACCAATGAATAACAGCAATCATAGCAACACAACCATTACAGTGAATATTTGAATAAAAATGTTTACATCGGTTTGAAACTCAGCCTGAAATACATCCAATAGTTTTTCAAAATAAAAGCTTAAAAACTCTAAATGCTTTGGTTCTTCGAAAATCCAGCAAGTACCTGTCTACTGATTTCCTGAGAATCCAGCTATGCTGATATTTTTCAAACTGCTTGTATTCTCAGGAAATCAGTAGACAGGTACTTGCTGGATTTTTGAAGAACCAAAGCATTTAGAGTTTTTAAGCTTTTATTTTGAAAAACTATTGGATGTATTTCAGGCTGAGTTTCAAACCGATGTAAACATTTTTATTCAAATATTCACTCTAATGGTTGTGTTGCTATGATTGCTATTATTCATTGGTTGTGATGCTATACATGATGTCCTCCGCCCCGGAATGTTTCCGCCAACGGTTTCGGGGTGTGACAGATTGGTATCAGAGCCCATGTTTATAGCGAACTAGTATACCAAACCTTACGTGGTATACAACTATAAACACTAAGGGGCCTAAGAGCTCTACTCAAAAAGTATACTTTCAAAATATAAAGTATTTTTATAAAAGTATACGAGCATGCATACATAACAGGATTCGTGTCGCTAGTAGAACTGAACAAAAGTATTACGGATGCTGGAACGTTGCGGTTAAACCTGGGCAGTTATGTAATCATGTCTAGGGTGAATATAGCCTGATCAACTATATTCAGTCGAGACATGACCAACATGTGTTTGGGAGTGACTGTGGTGCTACAGCAGGCCTAAAACTTACCAAAATCATCTCTCATAAAATACTATAGGAGTATTTTCGCTAGAACCAAACTCAGTATACAGATTCACTCTAAGTATTGCTACTTTTCCTTCCCTAAGCGATAACTTACATGTGTTAGTAACCTTTCTATGATCATCGCTCGGTAGAATACTTCCATTATCAGGATGAGATATATTTTGTTCTTTTATATATATCTCGAGGACTTACCATCCTCTTATTCCTGATTGTTTCTAGAACAAGATGCCTCCTCGACCAAGGCCCAACCGAATGAACAACGACACTCCACCACCACCTCCTCAGTTCGACCCTGTCATGTTCCAGGCAGCAGTTACCGTCGGCGTGACTACAGCAATGGCACAAGTGAATGCTGGTGGAGCTGGAGGTGGAACCGACCCCCAGAGACAAGATGGAAGTCAGGGACATCAGAAAGAGTGTTCCTACAAGGACTTCATGACTGCGAAACCCAAGTCCTTCGATGGAAATGGAGGTGTCATCGCCCTGACCCGATGGTTCGATAAGATCGAATCCATCTTCGAAATTTGCGTCTGTTCTGAAGCAAGCAAGGTGAAGTTTGCCGCCTGCACCTTCACCAACAGAGCCTTGACCTGGTGGAATGGTCGCGTCAAAACCCTAACCCTGCCAGTGGCTAATGTCATGGGTTGGGAAAGGCTGAAGGAGCTCATGCTAGCTGAGTACTGCCCGAGGGGCGAAGTGCAAAAGTTGGAACACGAACTCTGGAACTTGAAGATGAAGGGTTCCGACATCGCTACCTACACTGCTAGATTCTGTGATCTGGCGCTTCTCTGTCCGGGAATGGTCACCCCGGAAAGCAAGAAAATCGAGAGGTACATCTGGGGACTGACGCAACCCACCAAAGGAAATGTCTTGGCTGCTAGGCCGACTACATTTGAAAGCGCCAAGGATCTGGCACAGACTCTGATCGATCATGGAATCGACCTGGATGAGGTGACAGATGTCTCTGAACCCCAAAAGGATAGCGGTGGGAAGAAGAAGAAGTCTGGCAACAAGCGAAAGGATCAGTCTTCATAGGAGCCCTCCAAGAAACAACAAATAGTGGCAGTTCATGCTGTCGCTGCTCCTGCTGCTACTCCTACTGCTGTTCCAACCACCCAATCCCCTAACGGTGGTTATGCTGGGAAACTACCTCTGTGCAACAAATGCAACTTCCATCATCACGGGCCCTGCCGTGAGTTGATCTGCAACAACTGTGGGAAGAAGGGACACACACTTCGATACTGCAAGACACCAGCTCAACCAACCAACCAGGCTCCGGGAGCGGGCGCTGGTCAGACTTATTATGGATGTGGAGAGGTTGGGCACTACAGGAGAAACTGCCCCAAGGCAACAACTGGTGGCAATACAGGGAGAATTTTGGCTATGGGTCAGAATGAAGCAGTTGCTGATCCTACCGTTGTTTCGGGTACGTTCCTCCTTGACAACTCTTATGCATGCATTCTCTTCGATTCTGGTGCGGAGAGGAGTTTTGTTAGTCATTCATTCAAACATCTAATCAAGTGTAAATCCCAACCTCTAACCGAAACATTTACCGTCAAGATGGCTAACGGAAAGAAGGAGAGCACTAACGATATATTCATAGGCTGCACTCTCACCCTAGACAATTATTCTTTTCCCATCGACCTTATGCCAGTGTCCATCAAGAGCTTCGACGTCATTGTCGGTATGGATTGGTTAAGCTCCAATCATGCTGATATTCTTTGCTTCGAGAAAGCTATCCGTCTCAATCTTTCCTCTGGCGAAACCCTTACGATTTACGGTGATAAGCTTAGCTCGAACCTCCATATCATTTCATGCCTCAAAGCTCAGAAGTATCTGCGGAAGGAGTGTCATGCATTTCTAGCTCATGTTGTCGACGAAACGCGAAAAGTTAAAGACCTCGAGAACATCCCCGAAGTCTGTAACTTTCCTGATGTATTCCCTGAAGATCTCCCAGGAATCCCTCCTAAGCGTCAAGTCGAGTTTCGTATCGACTTGATCCCCGGAGCTACTCCTGTAGCTAAATCTCCATACCGTTTAGCGCCAGCGGAAATGCAAGAATTATCCAGTCAGCTCAATGAGCTGATTAGCAAAGGATTCATAAGGCCGAGTTCCTCACCCTGGGGAATCGGATTAGCAAAGGATTCATAAGATGGATCCTTTCGGATGTGCATTGACTACCGAGAGCTGAATAAGCTGACCATCAAGAACCGATATCCCTTACCCAGAATCGACGATCTTTTCGACCAACTTCAGGGAGCCAGTTATTTCTCAAAGATCGATCTAAGATCAGGGTACCATCAATTGCGAGTTCATGAGAATGATGTGCCTAAAACAGCATTCCGAACTCGCTATGGACACTACGAGTTTGTAGTGATGCCCTTTGGTCTGACTAACGCACCGGCAGCATTCATGGACTTGATGAATCGGGTGTGCCGTCCTTTCTTAGACAAGTTTGTGATTGTGTTCATTGATGACATACTTGTCTATTCACGAAGTGAGGACGACCATAAACAGCACTTAAGGCAGGTGTTGGAAAAGTTAAGGACAGAAAAGTTGTACGCGAAGTTTTCGAAGTGCAAATTCTGGATTAGGAAGGTGAATTTCCTTGGTTACGTGATTAGCAAGGAAGGAATACACGTGGACCCTTCCAAAATCAAGGCGATTGAGAACTGGTCTGCACCAAAGACACCCACAGAAATCCGGCAATTCTTGGGTCTCGCGGGCTATTATCGCAGGTTCATCCAGAACTTCTCCAGAATCGCTAAGCCTTTAACTACCCTGACGCAAAAAGGGGTAACCTTTAGTTGGGGAGCCAAGCAAGACATTGCGTTTCAAACACTGAAGCAGGCCCTATGCAGCGTACCTATCCTGTCCCTGCCCGAAGGGACAGAAGACTTCGTGGTCTACTGTGATGCATCCAATCAGGGCCTAGGATGTGTTCTCATGCAAAGAGAAAAGGTCATCGCCTATGCCTCAAGACAGTTAAAGACACATGAAGTCAATTACACAACTCACGATTTAGAGTTGGGAGCAGTGATCTTTGCGTTAAAGATCTGGAGACATTATCTTTACGGAACCAAGTGCACTATCTTCACCGACCATAAGAGCCTGCAGCACATCCTTAATCAGAAGGAGTTAAACATGAGACAGCGACGATGGGTCGAGCTACTCAGTGACTACGAGTGCGAAATTCGCTACCATCCCGGTAAGGCCAACGTGGTAGCAGACGCCCTCAGTCGAAAGGAGTATTCAGGGCGTAAGGTGAAGGCACTAACAATGACCATCCATTCCCATCTATCCGTGCAAATCAAGGAAGCTCAGCTGGAAGCCTTAAAACCCGAGAACGTGACAGATGAAGCTTTGCGGGGAATGGACAAGAACTTGGAGGTCAAAGGAGACGGAGTGTACTATTTCATGAACCGAATCTGGACCCCAAAGTTCGGTGGTTACAGAGAGGTTGTCATGAATGAGGCTCACAAGACTAAATACTCCGTTCACCCAGGTTCGGATAAGATGTATCTGGATCTCAAACAATTCTATTGGTGGCCAAACATGAAAGCAGAGATTGCTACCTTCGTGGGCAAGTGCCTGACTTGCGCCAAGGTGAAGGTCGAATATCAAAAGCCCTCACGTCTACTTCAGCAGCCGTAAATACCTGAG